TTGATACATATTGATGTCCTTATGCTGTGTAGAAAGTTTGAGCTCATTCCGACTTAAATTTTTCAAGTTACAGCCATTTTAAGAAATTTGCCAAAATTTGAAAAATACCCAAGGCTATAGCCCATGCTTTTTTCTAAAAAATGGCTAAAAAATCACCCCCAATTTTTATTACATTTTCTGATGTATATTGATGTCCTTATGCTGTGTAGAAAGTTTGAGCTCATTTCGACTTAATTTTTTCAAGTTACAACCATTTTAAGAAATTTGCTAAAATCTGAAAAATACCCAAGGCTATAGCCCATGCTTTTTTCCAAAAAATGGCCAAAAAATCACCCCCAATTTTTATTACATTTTCTGATGCATATTGATGTCCTTATGCTGTGTAGCAAGTTTGAGCTCATTCCAACTTAAATTTTTCAATTTACGGGCCATTTTAAGAAATTACACTGTTAGCTAACCCATGCATCATTCATGCTTGCAATTACTGGCTCCAAGTCACTCCCAGTTTTAATCATACATTACATGTATCTACTCCACCCACACATACTTTACTCCTTCACAGTAGTCCCTGAGTGTGACATAAGATGCTTTATTAATTTCTTGCTCCACCTTAAACTGGCTGCTTGTTTCGCTCAGCTCCGCTAGTCCATTATTAAACAACAGAGGGTACACTGGTACACCTTCGTCCGACGTTAACTCTTCCGGAAGGTTCTCCATGAGGTTGCTAGGCAACGAGAATGTCACATGTAACCTGTTGTGGTCGCCAGATATGGTAACGTGTGGAAGTGTGCCTTAAATAGAACGGGTTAATATTAACGGTTAAAAAAGAGGTGTGTCTCACTGTTTTGCAGTATTTGTGATTTCGTTGCAATTTCCTTCACGTGAAAAGTAACCGTCTTTAGTCTTTCAATGACAGGAACTAGATCCTTGAGACTTAAAAATTCTTGATTCTGGAAAAATAATAATTAAAAAAACAAAAATAAAAATAAAAATAATAATACATGCATGTACATGTACATCTAGAAAAAAATTTTAGAAGAACAAAAGCTAAATTTAATGAGAAACTTTACGGTAGAGTAAAATCTCCTAAACTTCCTCTATATCTTAACAGTGGTATTAACTCACCACTGAAGGTAGTAGGAGACACTGGAAGCAGACCACCACTCCTTTGGCGATGATCTGGTCCAACCACTGCTGGCTGGCGTCGACTGGGCTCTTAATGTATTCGGAACAAGTATTAACATGAGAATTAGCAGCTGCTATTAGTTGATGAGCGAAACCGGTTGTAACTGCCGTCAAACACTGAGAGAATAATCTGTCCCAGGAGTATGTCACCTCAACATCTAAAAATAGAAACAATAATGTAATGCTATTTTTAGTAATATCAATATGCACTTGAATTCTAATTTTAGTAACATGCAGGTTGTGTAATGTTTATTCTATTTATAGCAGCACGTACCGTCATTTAATCCAAGAGCAGCCTCCAAGTAAAATTGAATGTCTAGAAAAAATTTTTTAAATAATTGTCATATTAAGTAATTTTCTCCTTTCGCTCTTACCTTTCTTTATTAATTTAATGTCGGACTCCATTGCTACAGCAAAACTTCTTATA